CATATAAAACATTATAATAGTTGGTGTCCAGATTGTGCACATAATAGACGTCTTACTCTTGAAGAAGCTAAACAAATCGCGCTTAGCCGAAATGGTAAATGTCTTTCAACTTCATATAATAATTCTAAAATTCCGATGACGTGGAAATGCCATCAAGGTCATATTTGGAGCAGTCCGTTTCATAACATTAAAAATTCTGGTTCATGGTGCCCATATTGTGCGGGTATTGCAAAACTAACCCTTGAGGATGCAAAGGAAATTGCACTATCTAGGAGTGGGGAATGCAGTATAAAAATATAGACAAACCGCTAACATGGCGTTGCCAATTTAACCATCAATGGCAAAATACACTTTACCACATTAAAAATAGAAAACAATGGTATCCATTTTGCATTGGTTGTTATCAAACAATTGAGGATATGCGTAAACTCGCACAAGTAAAAAATGGCGATTGCCTTTCAGATCAATACTATAACTCACGTACCAAGCTAGAATGGATTTGTGAGAATAAACATCAATGGAAAGCTATTACTAACAGTATTCAACAAGGAACTTGGTGTCCATTCTGCCCAAAATATAAAAGAGAAAAACTGTGTCATGAGATTTTAACAAAGTATCTTGGTGCCCCTTCACTAATCCTAATCCGCAGACCCGGTTTCTTAAAGACACAAGAATATCCAAATGGACTAGAACTTGATATATTTTATCCGCAATATGGCTTCGCAATCGTAGTACAAGGCATACAACACGAAAAATATCACGAATTCTTTCACGGAGGGGATCCCAATAGTTTTATCAAACAGCAAGCACGGGATCAACTCAAGAAAAAATTATGTGAAGAAAACTGGATTGCTTTAAGGTATGTTTGGTACTACGAAGACCCATATATAGTAATTCCGAAACATCTTCGGGAATTGGGTCTTATTGAGTAAACTCATTTAATCACTGTTTTTTTTTCATCACAGATAGAATTACATATAATGGAACAAACCCAGATTTCGCATTACAAGCCCTCTACATCAGACA